TGACAAGGATTGCATGGCCAACCACTTGAGAATCCAGTTGTGGAAAAATCACAACAAAATGTGCGGAAACAATCTGAAATCAAGTTAGCTGCACGAATGGACTCTTCAGTCCTCTCAAGAGCCTCAGTGCTACAGTCGCAAGCATATATCACCATATTCTTGTTCCCACTATAATGCAAGAGTGTGTTCCATGATCATTAGAAATTCATCATAGTTTACCTTCATTAGCAAATAAAGAATTACTAACATTAGCTAGTATATTTTTAGTGTACTGTCTAGGAGATTGTAAGGCCGTCCCTAACAAGCTCTAAACCAAACTTCATCATAGTTTATAAAGGGGAGAAATCAGCCTTAGTTGACCCACAACCCAATCATAAATATGGGACTGTATCAAATTAGTGGCAAAGCAAGAGAACATGGGTGACTTAGAACCTTTTAGATAGCAGTTCACGAGCTTCCGACATATATACCAGGATGATAGGAACAAGGGTTGCCTAAAGAAAGTGGGATCATGCAGCACCTGGAGGAAAAACAAAGGTAGCTCACCAAAAAGCTAGAGTCCTTACCAAGAAACTCTCCGGTACTAAACAGTAGAGATCACTGGCACCAGAATGGAGTGTTCTTCAGTGTAAGTAGAAGGCAAGATTGGGGAAAAAAGAGATCAGATGGTCAAGGTACATTTTGAAGTACTTTGAACTAGATTTTTCTCATTTTGATGGTACTGCAGACCTTCTTAGTTGACTCAACCACATGAGCCAATTTATAAACATCAACAGACATCTAAGGACAAGAAAGTCGGGCTCTCCTCATTCCACCTTGAAGGGGATGCCTGATTTTAGTTCCTCAAGCTAGAATAGGACTGGCCAGGCATGTCATGGGAAGTCTTCAACCAGCAAATATGTAACAACAAATTGAGAGATCTCCTTTTTTAGGAGGAAAGAAAAAGAAATATCACTAAGGGTTGGTATACACAATATATTTCACAAAAGGGTTGGCATACACAAAAAGTCAGAAACTAAAGCGCCAATAAGCTTCCCCAAATTCCGATAGTCCAACCCATAAAGGGATAAGGGTAATATCCAGGAAAGCCTACCTGTTGCTTTCCAATACATGTAACATCTTGCATTTAATAAATCATGAGCACATAATATCTACAAAAAACTTTAGGTTACCTATCTCTATGAGATCATAGGATTTCTAACTAGTCCTAAATCACACATCATTATAAGTCATAAAGGGAGAAAATCAGCAAAGGAAGCAGGACACTTGATTCAAGATTTCAGTCTTAGTCAACCCATAACCTAATAACAAGCATCATCATTCATAGTTTAAAAATATTGATGAAATCAACTAAACTTATAAAAAGAGAACCATAACAAAAAAAAAAAAACATCTAAGAGCTTGCAGTTACCGAAGTATAGGAAGCACAGAACTCCCATTACCACATCCAACCTCCAAAAGCTTCGAGTATTCTCCACAAGCAACCAGTTCTGGGAATTCTTTCAATAAATACCTTCTCTCCTGCATCCATGGATTGTGACTTAAAGAATGCATAACAAAAGAAATGAAACAGGTTGGCATATTCAGTATATCCTTAAGATTCAGAATGCTATGCAAACATATTAAATCCACCCAGAAGTCCTAAACTCAAAAGGCTGAAATCAAAAAGCAATATATAGCTCGTAAACAAATGCATTCAGGTCCCAATCAAAACTTCTAAAAGGGATTGATTGTCTCTATCATCTATTCAACCTCCCAAAGAGATGATAAAAGTTTGAGTTTAATTCATATCAATTTTAAGTTATCTCAACACCAATTTGACAGCCTTATCATACTGGTTATACATAAACTATATACTAACTTGAACATCAAATATTTCCCCAAAAATCGTAATCATGCTCAGTTGCACCTTACTCTTAATTTTGCCATAAACCAAGATGCAAATTTTTAAACTTTAGTTCCAGCTTCACTGACCATTTATATACATTCTGGAACCAATTCTATCATCATTCATATTGTTTATCCACTCTCCAGTAAGAATCCCCAATAACTAACAATTACTTTCCTAGAATCACAGCCTTCAACGACCAACCCACAAGCATATCAGCATTAAAGAAGTAAAAATTTACTTTTGAGTCTTGAATTATACACCTTATATGAATACGAAATACTTATGTATATGTATATGAAGATGAGACCTTGAAGAATTTTCCCGACGAATGGCGAGTGTGGAACGTCTGCCATGCTTCTGAATCTTCTGTAAGAAGATCTTGCACTTTTTTCTGACGCGCTTCTGGTTTGAGTTGATGGTGTTGTGAAGACTGAAAAGGGAGAATATGGTAGTGGAGAGAGGGATCGCTTTCTATTCGATTCTTCAAGTCTTCCCATTGAAAGTCGCTTGAGTGGTACTCTTCTGCTGATACTTCCATCGTATCTTTCTGTTTCTCTTATGCGGCTTTTTCTGGTTAAGGTGGGTCGGAAGATAAAACAAATTGAAAAAGAATATTGGAATTTGTTTGGTTATCAGACAGAAAAAAAAAAGAGAGAAATTTTATTTTTATAATGAGATTAGAAAATTCTTTTCATCCCACTTGAATTTGATCAAGATGATTTTTTTTCAATTCCATTTTGAATTTGAAAAATCATTCCAAGCAATATAAGGTCAAACTGTTGGCACAAAAGAATTTTTCAATTTTTTGAGTTAATTAGGATTAGATTTGCATAGTAATTGAAAGGAGCTTTTTCATACTTTAGATCAAACTCTTTTATATGTGGATATATATTTCTCTTTTCATATTTTTTATATTTGCTCTTCTGCAATATATCATGCATGATTAAAATCTCAAAATGCTCTCCGAAAAGGATACCAAGCAAAATAAGGGGAATTTGTTATTCTGTTCTTCTGGTTTCAAAGACCTGAATTACAATATCAATTTTGTGTTCTGTGAATATTACATTATATTAACCCATGGTAGCTGATACCATGCTTTCTCCAATAAACAAGTAGCCTGATAAAATGATGTAACCCATTACATGAAACTCTTAGATTCAACATGATCATGGTTAGCATCATTTGTTTAGGAAATCACATGAGAAATTGGAGTGTGAATTTGCTACTTTCTTCAAATCTTGGATCTCAGAATGAAACCCAAAAAGGCTTTTAATAGAATCAATGCCAGATCATTTTCATGACTTCAGCCTCACACTCCACCTGCCTGTTGCAGAACTCTCCGAAGTTCATCTGCCATTGTTTGTAAGAGAACAGGTTTCCGAATCACTCCATTCATGCCAATATGCAGGCATCTCTCCCATATATGATCCTCTGCACTGGCTGTGAGGGCTATGATCACCGGCCAGGTGTGACTATGGAACTTCCGAATTCTCATTGCCACTTCAAATCCGTCCATTTCCGGCATTTGAAGATCCAATATCACAATTCTGAAAGTATTTTCCGCATTGCTCAAAGCACTAAGGCATTCAAATCCAGATGAAACAGCAGTTACTACGCACCCTAGCTTCTCTAGCAGTTTTTTTGTAACAGTCCTGTTTACATCATCATCATCAGCTAGTATAGCTCGAATGCCTCTAAATTTGGAGTACGATCTTGGTTGCTCCAAGGAACTCCCAGAAGCAAATATGGCTCTTTCAAAGGATGGTTGGATCCGAAACCTGAGAACAAGTGCAATGCTTTGAGCTACACCAATGGAGTTTGAGGATACCCAGATATTACCATGCATCATCTGCAGAAACAATCAGGCGAATTTTTAACAGATCGAAGTCTAGTAGACCCATTAACATTAAACCAGATGTACATCATAATACACTCTTTTTGCATTTATAACATCGTCACAAATCAACATTGCGGAAAAGGAAAGGTTTGGATGGTGTCTTAGAGCAAAAGAGCAGATCTTTAAAGAAAAAAAGAGTATGATATTAAATGAAAGACTATTAAAAGTCATGGGTAAGGTTTTGTTATACTTTTCTATTGTCTTATATTCAATATATTTGTT